GAGGCAAGAATTGAACAAAATTTTGGAGGATCCCTTGTTTGTTCCCTGTATACAGTAGGTAGGGATCGGACCGAGGATGGGGCTGTATTTTTAATTTGGGGATGGAGAAGATGATATCCTTGACCGGTTGCCATCCATATTCAAACTCACTATTTGATATTCCACCTTAGGCTTAAAGCTATAGTTTTGTCGTCCACCCAAGATTACTCCTTCTCCATCATGAATTTACTTCTAAACATGTATTATATTGAAATCATCAATTATGATAGTGGTATTTGATAAGAAAAAGCATACAGAAAAACATCATTGAATTTATAGATAATGTTGCGGGTAATTAAAAAGGACAAAAAGTTGAGGGGGCTATAAAAAATTACCAACTGAAAATGACCAACTTTTTAGATGCTATACCTTTGAGTCCACATAATGCCCAAAATACCCTTACCCTTAACCTTTGACTACTTAAGCTATTTAACACTTTTCAAACAATTTTCTCGACATTCCAATCCATAAAAATCATTCAAGATTAGCTAAACATCTCCCATTTGAAACGTGTAAACACCATATTCATGTAAGATCGTCAATTTGTATAACTTTTTTATATTTCGCACAATTTTTTTTATAGGTTAGGGTATGATTTTTGAGTTGATGCGATGGTACATTTTAAGAATTTATTAGATTTTTTTATGTATAAATGTTTATTTGATGTTCAATTATCATGTATTTGGTTTTGATGTTATGAAAATTGTGCTAACGGGATGCAGAAGGTAAATTGAAGTAGGAAAATGGAGAGAAATGTCTGTTAGTGAAAAATTTCCTAGTTAGTGTGAAATTTTCCGATCAGTGCAAAATTTACACACTAACTAGATCATACGTTCGCATATTACCCAGTTAGTACAAATTTTCTCAATCAATGCTGAATTTTTGCACTAACTAGAACAATTTCACAATAATTGACTTTTGTTTCCTATTTAGTATGAAATTTTCACACTAATTGAGTTAGGTCACTGTAGACGTAAAAATCTACCTGTACGGAGAGGGGGGTCTGATCCCGTGAGGTTGAGGCCACTAGCGATCTGCTGTACCTGCACACATAGAGAAACACATGCGTGAAGCGAACGGGAAACACCAGGGTGGTGTTTGCCGTAGGCACTCCGACGCTCAAGTCAGCAAGGCTGAAAGGCTAATATAGTGAGGGCTAGGGAATGAGAGATTACCGAAAGTCTAGTCGGAGACCGTGACTACGGCGAATAAGCGAAACTCTCAAGTGTTTAGGGTGTGAAGGTGTAATGTCGATGTCCTTTGTGAGAGGGCTAGCCTCTGCTTATATAGTGGTCGTCTGGTCTTCCAATCCTGGTGGGAGCAGGAGTCCTAGTGGGACTCTGATGCCAACCCTAGAAGAATCAGGGCCGTAATCAGTTGTCTTTATCAGTGTCCAGATAGGAAGTTAATTCCATTTAGGAGAATGACCCCCAAGTGGGAAAGTCGCCAAGAAAGAGGAAGGCGACCTTGAATAGGGGATTGATCAAGAATGGGAAAATATTGAAGGGGCTATGGGCTCTGGACTTACCCATAGGCCTAGAAATTGGACAGGGCTTAAGAGGCTTGCGCCCATGTAGTTCGGGCCGGCTATACTTCGTATCAAATAGGGCTAATCCGAATTGGGCCTCTGCAAGATTGGGCCTGGTCATTCTTCACCAGCGATCCTGTTTCCCTAATTGGGCCAAGGACGATTTTTGGCCCTAACAGTCACACGAACTTGGTTTTAGTTATGTTTTTTACGTTTTTATTATGTAATTTTTTTTGGAACCATATATCTCAAATGTATGTGTTGGAATTGTAAAATCATTCAAAATGGAACACGTCGTTGCAATGGTTTGTTATAGAGGAGAATGGAGAATGGTTGATGGCACACACAGTTATGTTAGAAAGAGGCAAAAGATTGTGCAATTGCATATTGCATTGAATTGGAAGGGGTTGGTAGATTTACTAAGCAAGCGTCTACTTATAGTTTGTACAAGGTGTTACATTAAACTTGCTATGAAGCCAAAATATACACGAACAATATGTCTGTGGACATCAAAGATGATGAAGATGTTTCGACTTATTTGACATTCACTAGAAATAATGTGAATGAAATATATCCACAATACCTGAGACTATAAGACTATCTAATCCAGATCTCATCCAATTAATGGACCAAACCTCAAATTTAATTTGACTACAGTTGCACACTCCCTTACACACTTCCTTACCAAATAAATTTTATATACAACTTTAGGGAAGGTTTTAACACAAACTTTTAGAAGAAGCCGTAACGCTATTATTTACATTTACAAAAGAGTAAACAAACTAGAAAAATTAAGATCCATCTAAAGCATCACAAAGTAATCTATAGAGTATAACTTAAAAGAGTTGGATTAAAGGTTATTAATAACTCAAAAATCGATGCCAATAACACAAAATTAACCCAAAACCCATTATAAAAAAGGAGAAGTTTAATATGATATGTCTATGATGAGCAAATTTCAAGTTAAAAACGAAAATTTCCCGAAATTTGGTAGAGAGAAAGAAAGTACACAATTGAGTTATAAGGCAAGTTGAACCATTTTCATAGGAACAGTCACATGTGAGCTCCACTGCATGGATCTCCAGTCTCCACCAGAGTTCCATAAAACTGGCTCTTCTTGTGTTTCCCATTTTTGAGATATTGAATTCAATACCCTTATTGCTCACAACAATAACCCAACCGATAAAAAAATTCATAACTAGCTTATAGAAATGCCTTCAATGCTAACAAATTTTCATAAAATCAATGACTCTTTGAGCATATATTATTAAGAATAAGAACCAGTCAAAGTACGTAGAACTAAAATTTGACCATCAGTCTGGCCTTTTTTCTAATAAACAGGATCAATCATTCCCGATTTCCAGCCCACAATTCAGTATTTGATTGACAAGATATCAACCTGACTTCTGGCAATTGATTGTTCACAAATTAGCTGGAATTATTTAGAAGATTGGGCGTGAATTAGCTAGCTGACATATTGACAAAACTTAGTTGTTTCTTGTAAATTACATTCTGTAAACAAATATCAACATTCTAACTTATTAATAGATATTCTTTTGTACAATAAAAAGAAAATAAAAATAATTAACATAAAATAAACAAATTCATAATACATGTAGAAATTTCACACAGACTAATATTTTTTGCTAGTTCTGCCAAAAAAAAATTAACATTCCGTTAGTCCGTGCGAAAAATTTCAGTTAGTGTGAGAATTTCGCATTGATTGATCAATTCATGCGAAAATTGAACACTAATCGAGAATCGACCATACAACCATCGATTTCGGCTATGGATTGATTCCAATCAACCGATAACATATTTTTCTAACACCAAAAACATAGTTTTATACAAGTAATCATACAAAAACTTCATATATGTCATTCTAACATCATAAAAAAATAAAAAAAAACACACACACACACACACACAAACTTAACAAAATCATAAACCTTAACCCAAAACATAACGAAACTTTTAACTTTTCATTTCAAAACAAAACAAAGCTTCTTTCCCATCTTGATTTCATGCAAATGAACTCGAGTATACAATCTTTTGTCGCTGACTTGTCGAATTTTAGTGGCCAATTTTGTCGAGAACCATGGTGACTTCAATATTTTGTTGCAAGGAAAGTTGCAAAAATGAGAAATTTTGCCCTTTTATATGAGGGGCAAAATAGGGAAACTGACTTTTTTGGATTCAAAGGCATAGGGTTTCAAATTTTAGTTATGTTGTTACGGAAATTCACAACAACTAGTGAGACTCGATAGACCTTGCTGGGATTGAGTTGGATGGGTGTGTGGTTGCGTTACACCAACAATGAGATATGAACAGGTCTAAAGTAAGAAGAAACAAATAAGGATTTTTAAAATGGTTCGGTAAGTTAAAACCATGTCTACATCTACCGTTATGTTATTGCTTTGGGTGTTTTTTCCTTTGATTGCAAATTACAAAGAGTTGCTCTCGTCTCTCCATGAGATATCTGGGTAGAAGAAAGAATATGTCTTTGTTCATGAGGGTTAACATGAATGGAAAAGAGCCTCGTTTGGGGTGAAAGATTAGCTTATATAGGTTGTAATAGTAGTAAACTTATGATGGTCATGGAAGTTTAGCTTGTTGTCAGTGTTTTACTTGTAGGCAATGTTTAACTTAAAAGTAGCATTCAACTTGCATGCATGTGCAGAGTGAGATGACTCCTCGGGCTGTTCCCTTTCTTTTGAAATGGAATTAGCTTCCTTTCCGCATTCCAGTGGCTAGGAGTTGACAATTTTGGGGCGATTTGTATGCACAATCCCTTCTAATTTGGATCTAAGTCAGCATTTCACCTATATTTAAACCAAACTAATCATTATACATGGGTAATTATTAGGCCAAAATAATCATATCTTAAACTGATGAGCTCATTGGTTAAATCGCTTTCCACGGAGGTGACACGTGAGATAATTCTAATTGCTTCGATTTAGCTTGGTTAAAGGACAAGTGGCACGAGTCTGGCGACTTTGAGATTCTCAACAAGTTCTTTTCATATAATCTCGCATTTTTTGGTCATTTAAATAATAAATCTAATTCTAATTTCATTCTCTTAAAAAAAAAATTCTCATTTAGAAAAATCATTCGATTGAATCGATGTTAACTTCAGAAAATCCAATTAAGATGTTTTTCTCGTGCTAGTTCTATAAAATTTTACAAAATCAAACCGACATGTGAAAATAGTAATATACATGTGATTGAGTTCTAAAACTTTTACAATTCTTATAATACATGTACATTGCTAAAGATATATGATTGAGATTTGTTTTTATTTAATTTTTTTTATTAATTATGAATAATATTATACGTAGATAAATAAATTTAGATTTAGAGAGAATCTGATCCTCTTAAATAGCGTCATACAGTTAATTTCATAAATTCTTACACCTTACGTGTCGACGCAGGACTGGTCATATTAAAAGAGAGACCCGAAGGTAACCGGAGAGTATCCGAACCCCGATTTCTTCAACACTGTAAACAGAACTCCCTTTCACTCTCTCTTAACGGTCAGCGCGACGTCGTGTAAACATTGGTGCTCTGTCTGAAACTGAAATTGAAACAGAGCAAAGCCAAGTACGGAAGAAGATGTTGAATCAAGAAGAATCCGTTAGGCTATTTGCAATCTTGAAAGTAGACCAAAAGCCGGTGGAGGAGATAGTCTCCGATTTCATATCCAAATTCCCTCTCCAGCGCCACTTTGCTATTTGCTACTCTCTCTTTCTTTTGCTAGAGGTAATTACTCTTCCTCTCGCTTTTGCTATTCGTGTCCTCTTGGTTAGGGTTTCAAATCAATATTCGTCAAGATTTTGTGAGGTATTCAAATATTAATTGAAGAACGATTTTGGCTAGGGTTTTATTTGTATGTTCATATGTCTTTGAAATTTTGAGTAGTGAAATTTTAGTTAGTGACTGAACCGCTAGTGAAAAGTTCACTATGTTTCAACGAGTTCTTTGCTCTTAGCGGTTTGCCTGAATTTGTTAGATAGTCGCTTAATCTTGTCCGATGTATGGTTGGTGGGAGTAATGGGCTAAGTCTAAGATTTTCGGAGATCATTTTGGCGTGGGGAAGGCTGCTTTCTGTGGTCTTTGCCATAGATTTATAGGCTTTCATCCTGGCATAATGCTTCTGTTGTTAGGATGGAGGGGATGGGATCTTAAGCTCTGTAGGAACTTGAACCATAGAGAGGGTTTACAGCTTCCTGATCATCTAAACGTAATAAGAGTCATCCGTTTGATAATGAGAGAGGATTATAGAACTAGGGTTCGGTGTTTTCTCTACCAAGTCTTACTCTTAAAAGTTTGGTTGAAGATCATAATATCCTCCTTTCCTGAAGCCAGAAATTTTTTATGGAAAGCCAAATTCTCCTCCACAGCAAGGATTTGGGAGTATGGCCATGGGGATATTAATACAAATGAGATGCTTCAGATAAGAAGACCTAGGATGTGCATATATCTCCTTTGTTGCATTATGTCTAGCAAAGAATTGATAAGTTTACACTAGCTTTTATTGCTTTGCACTTGTGGATTAGTCTCATTTCTTCTTCTAAGCTCGGATGGAAGTTTCTTTCTCATGTCACTTGGTCCTCATTGAAAGAAGTCAAACTTTTGGAGGGAGCTGAAGAACTGGACTGTTATTGGGTTGTGCAATTATGGCTATTTTTGGGTTGTTTTGGATAGAAAGAAATAGAAGAATTTTTGAAGACAAGAGAGGGGAGACTTATTTCTTCTGAGATCAAGACATGAGTTTATCTTTCGGTGTCTTTGTTTTCTGTGCCATCAAAATTCCAGATGTACCTTTCTTTTGCTTTTGCCATAACTAGGACATGTTTCTATTTGGGTGTCTATGTTATCTAAATCTTGAATTTACCTACTTTTGCTTACTTCAGAACTCTTTTCTTTTCCTTTCTATTTTTTTTTTTTTTTTTTTTTTTTTTTTTTTTTTTCTTTGATTGTGAGTTTTTTGAGCTGTCATGACCAACACTTGCATAAACTTTGTGTGAATAGTTGTTCACCCTTTTGTAAATCTCTCTTTTTTTTTTTTTAAATATCAATTTATACCAATTTAGGAAAAATGAAGGAAGTTCTTTTTTTCGAATGATATTTTGTTTGTATTAATATTTTTAGAGCTATAGTGCATTCTAACACCTTCACCTTGGTGGGAACTTTAGATTTCCAAACCACTCTTGATGGGATGGCTCATTAAGAGGGGTTGTAGGAGATTCAACGAGACTCTTGAAAAACGATTTTGTAGAAAACTTTTCAGACATGTTGGAAGTCATACCTCACAATCTTCCTGCAATTCATTAAGAGGAGCACTCTCTAACCATGATAGAATCTCAGCATATTAATGAGACGCTTTCTCGTTTAGGTTTCTATAAAAATTTAAGGTTTTACCCCCAATGAGAATAGCAAACATTTACCATGTTAGCAATACAAGTATTATGCCATCAGACACCTTGTACAACCTAGGAAAGAGTGGATAGAAAGCTGCTTCACCTACTCAAATACCTTTCCATAATCTGATTTTCTGCCCAGATGCTGCCTCCTTTTTGGTATAAGGGAAAAATTACAAGCTGCACATCGAAATGTTAGTACATCCGTTAATGTTATTTTTTATTTACTTCAGCTGTTTCCAGCAGATGACATATTAAAAAGCTATTGAATTCTTCAGGTTTTTGTAAGTTTAATTTATCTAGAAGTGTTTTATTCTTGCAAGAAGTAACTTTTTTCACCAAACACCCTTCTGAAAATGGAAAAGATTTTAAGGCCCTTAATGGCCTTCATCGTCAGGTCAAACAATCCTTTGTCTTTTGCAGCTTGTTTAAGTATTATACTAATAGCTCTTGTTAGAAAAATATTATGAGCTGTTTATGGATGGATATGAAAATAAAAGATTAAATCTTTTATCAAACAGAAGATTGACTTTTTTTCGGTTTATGCTATCTAAAAAGATAATATGGTGGGGCACATTTTTTTGAGTTTGAGCTTACTGTTTTCTGGTTAAAGATTAAATTATTGTTGAAAATTTTGTTTCAATCTCTCTCATACAAACAGGGGATCGACATTTCTTAGTTGTCACGTATATAAGAGTTGAGTCTTTATTTTTATTATTGTAGTTATCATGCTTTTACTATAAGTTTTTCTATGGTATCTTGCTGACCATTTGATATTTAACTTGCAGGATAAAAGGGCGCTGAATGCAACCGAACGTTTAGTTGCATTTTCCATTCTATATCAGGCTTATTCTTCCCAAAAATCTTCTGCAAACCCATTTATATCTTTAATAATAAATGTAATCTAATTTGTTATTAAGAAAGTTTATCTATATTTGTTTTGTACTTTTTGGAGAGTGGGCCATGTATGGTTGGGGTCTAATTATAAGTATTTTACTTGTGGGGTCTAATTATAAGTATTTTACTTGTGGGGTCTAATATTTTGCTTGATATATGTTAAATGTATGAATATGTGGGTGTGTTTCATGGCAATGTCCCTCCCACATTTGTTGCTTACTGATAGATGATGTGATCCCTTCATGTATTTATTTATATTTATTAATCCTTGGTTTTTGCAGACTGCATGTGATGATGAAGCTGAAAAATATGAGAGAGCATTTATTCTCCAGTTGTTAAACTCCGGAAGCTCCAGTAGTAGTAAAGAGGTGTTACTTTCTTTATATCCCTATGATTTGTCATCTTGAGGGATCTTATAAAGTTGTTTGTGCTGTTTTAAAGTTGCTACTGCTATGTTGCTATGGAAGTAGACTGAATTTTTTAAAGTTAGAACTTAGAAACGTATTGCAGATTAATGATTGATGTCCTTATGAACAATTGTATTATCTAGAAGTGATCGTCAATTGTGCTGCTTGAGACTTTTGTGTAATCTAGAAGCACTTTTTTTGAGTTGAAGAATTTATATATTGTCTTAAATGGAATTATGAGGTTTGGACATGTGTTAGAGATGTTTATGTCTCAGATATCAGAACCTGGTGTATTGGCAGGTACTGAAGTGGACCAGAATTTTTATTTTATATTTTTCCCTGGGTATTACAGAGATAGAATAGTAAATGTATCTTTATTTTTTCTCATCCAGTAATGTAGTCTTTTAGCAAGTTAGTTATATTGTTGGGTCTGTATCCAGCATTCTGAAGACACTTGTACTCCATGCATCATGGAATTTCAGTTTTACTGTATGTCTCATTAAACTTGCCTGCATAAAATTTTTCAACAAAATTAGTTGGTTAGGAGATGTTTGATTTCTGTGGCTGATTATAATGCTTAGTTGATGACAAACCTGGTATTTGTCATTTTGGCTTTGTTTGTCATGACATTTTAACCATTTTTCTGTAATGCCTCTTGTTGGGGTTGGTTACGAAACTTTTTATTCTGTTGTTGCAGTTTCTTAAACAGTCAGTTGCCGACTACATCAACGGTTTTGATCCTTCATCTCATGTAAGTCACTCATGTAGATGGACCTTAAGGCTCAACAAAATTTTTTCATTTTGGGGCTAATAACTGAAAATATTCCCTAAAAATTATGTTTTTTCCCCTTTGGTTGATATTTTGTTTTATCTGCTTACTGCCAGTCTTTCCCCGAACAAGAACAGTTGCAGCAGCAGTATTGTGATAAAGTACATCCGGAACCATACAATTCCTTATATAGAAATGCTGCCGTGAACAATGTGTTGCCAGACCCTGATGTACCCCGTGGCTGTGATGCAAATTCACCAGAGTATGTCTTTTGGGATTATGCTATGAGACCTTTATTTTCCGTTTCATTTATAATTCAGATTCAATTCTAGTTTTTCCTATGTGCTCGTTTATTTTTTATTTTTTATTTTGTTCATTATGCCATTGAGGGTCTCATTTTAGGTTTGATGTGCAAACTGGAGCCAAATCTAAACTTGGAGCTGGGGATCGAGATGAGGCTGTAACTGAATTGTTGGCGAATCTTTCATTGAAAGGCTTAGGTCCTCGATGGATCAGGCCTCTTCCACCAAGGTTCCCTGTTCTGGACAGGGAGGTGCGACATTTTTGAAGATATTTATTATTAAGATTTAAGATATTGGTTCTATTTAACTGTTTTCTTAAACCTGTCTATCATTTTCCAGCTTGAGTGGCTTATTCCTGATAACAATCATGAGCTTGTTTGGGATCATGGTATGTGTGCTGATACAAGTAGAGGAGCTGCAGTTAGGGATTTGATCACTAAAGCTTTAAAAGGACCCCTACTGCCTACACAATATGAGGTTCTAACATATACTTCACATTTTACATGCACATTTTACCTGTTTCACACCTCAAATTTTAATTATTTAAAAATCTAATTGTAACTTATCCGAGCAAGGTATAGTCTATGCATCTGTTTCATTGGTTGGACTAAGTTCTCAATTGGTGGTGAGGTTTTTTGAAATTTATCTGGTTTCTTTTTACAAATATGTTATTAGTTCAATTTCATGTTTGCCTCTCTCAACTAAGACTAATCTCTTTGCGAGTGGTTATTAGTTAATCAGATCTTTTTAGTACAAGACCATAGGTAAAAGCATTATAGTATTGGGTTAAATAGATGAGACATGATGCATAATTTCTGTTCTTTTACAAAAAAAAATTTGTTCCTTGTTCTAAAGATGTTAATATTTTATTTTTTATTTTTGGAATCTGGCTAGTATTTAAGTTCACTAACTCTCTATCATGTAAGATAGATATATTAAAACCTAGTAAGCTTGTTTAGATGATGGATTTTAGTTCTAGTTGATTTTGATGTCTTGACGTTTTTGTGGCCAATATATATTGGAAGGCAAATGCTACGTTTACAACATTTTCTCACAAACTTTCTTTTACAACCTCGACGTGGTAGCTTGCAATTGGTCAACTCACAATGGGTCCCACTTGATAAATTGTGACTAACCAATTGCGAGCTGCTACGTCGGGGTTGTGAGAGAAAATTTATGAGAAGAGGTTGTGGGTGTAGCATTACTCATATTAGAATGACCCCTGTAACAGCTTGTTACCACAAGGTTGTGAATAGTGTTCCCTTAGCCACTTTTTAATCATTATTACGTACTAAAAAATTAATAATAAAATAGGCTGGTATTTCTTTTGGTCTTCTTGAGTAATGATAATGCTAATAAAAAGAGGACTGTGCAATGCAATAGGAAGTTGAAAATTGTTATGCATTTTGTAATCTATTTTAAAGATTAAACAAGATAAAGTGTGGATCTTGATGAGTAATCATTTATTTAATTTGGAACTCTTGTCTATCTCTACTGAATTTAAACTTTTATTTTTCCTGTCATCTTGCATTCCTGAAACTATTCACCACCAAAGTGGTGTCACACGAGAAGCTTGCAGTCTACTTACCATCTATTTATTTGGCGTTCATTTTGTGAGAGGTTTAGTTTTGATTGAGACAAGTTTGATGTACTTTGTGGGTTTCCCATATCCAGTTTATCAGCTTTTTGTTGCTTGGTATCAGTGTGAGCATTTTCCAAAAGGAGAACTTTCTGGTAACCTCTTCTTTAATGGATTATTTTGTTCTTTGTTGATCGGTTTGAAGAAACCCAATGAGGGGCAAGAATCCTTAACCAAGGGCAGGTGCAGGGAAAGGGGCAAAAATCCAGGGCAAAGAAAAGATAGGGGCAGTCGCTTACTGATTAAGACTACCACCTGCAACCCGCATCCATAATTTTTTCATGTCTCACAGCTCAAAAAAGCTGTTTCACCACCACCTAATACCCAACCACTTCTGGACAACCTTGATGAGAGCCTGGTCCTAACTGTTGAACTTGAAGAAGTATTGAAAATATGGCGTCTACTGAATGGAAACCACGAAGTTCTTATTAAATGGCTGGGACTGCCTCCTAATGAAAACACGTGGGAAGATTTCACCACTCTCAATTGTCAGTTTCCTTCTTTCCACTTGAGGAAAAGGTGGCTCTACTCGGGGAGGGTAATGATGAGACCATCAGAGTAGTGGTGTATGATAGGAAGTCCAAGAGAGCCATGTAGTGGATTATGGGATGTTGGTAGGAAGTTTCGACTGATAGTGAGGTGTTAAAATTAGTTGTAGAGTGGATAGATGGCAGTGATAGGTGGGACATGAGAAGGATTCGGTTAAAGAGAGAGAGAGAGTGCAAAGGAATATAGCAGAGGAAAAGGGAAATGAAAAGGGATTATTGAAAATAGTAGGGGAAAACTTGGGGAGGATGCTGGCCCTCGAAGTCCAGCTTGGTTCTTAATAGTTTTGTGTCTTTCTTTGTTGTTTACTTTCTGTTTTGGGTTGGGGTTGGCTATTTCCTTCTTGGTGTAGCTGTTATCATCTTCCATTACCAAATATGTATACATCTATCTTCATCAGTTCTGGATATTTCTGGTTGTTTATCTTTATATTCTGATTTTCTGTTTAATTGGCTGTCACTATTGTATTGTTTGATTTGGTTGAGTGAGTGGGTTCTAACAGTCTCCTTTGGTAGCTTCCATTTTGTTATCAATATCAAGCTATATTTGAAATCTGAAGGGATGAACAAAAAGAGTTATTGTTGGATTTCTAGGTTCTTGTACTTTCAATCCTTCAAGAATTAGAATTGCAAACAGAAGAGTAGAAAATAAATCTCTTTCATGTCTCTTTATTCTATTGTCATGAGGAAGCAGGGGAAATAGCTTGAAGAATAGTTCAATCCTTTGATAATTTTATTTACATTTAAATGCACTAACTGGAATTACAAATAGTTTAAGCTATTGGTTTGTTTAAGCTCTTTGTTTGCATCACTTTCAAGAAAGAAACATTGTAAACTAGTCATCACTCTTACTATTTGCTATATCAATAGTTTGAAGAGAAAAAAGAGGCTAAATTTGCCCTTTTCTTTTACAGCAAGTTGTAGTTGAGTTGGCAAATGATCCGAAGCTCGTATATCATTGTGGACTGACACCGAGGAAATTACCAGTATGACTTGATAATCCCATGGTTCATTTGTTATATGTACATAATTTATCATGCATTTATGTTTCGAGGCCTCTTCTCTTGCTATCAGGAGTTGGTGGAAAACAATCCACTGATTGCAGTCGATGTTCTTACGAAGTTAATCAATTCGCCTGAAATTTCTGAGTATGTTTCTGTCATATTGATTCATGTTTCTCTTCTATTATTGTTGAAGTGATGTCCTTTGTTTGATATTTGAAGTTTCTGATTCCTAGTGTATGTACATGCAGGTACTATACAGTTCTTGTCAATATGGATATGAGTTTACATTCGATGGAAGTCGTAAACAGGCTTACAACTGCTGTTGAACTTCCAAAGGAATTTGTACGCATGTACATAACTAACTGTATATCATCTTGTCAGAACATCAAGGTAAACTCTTTGCTATGTTTTCCTGTAGTTTTCTTAGTTGTTAAACATATGTAAAGCATTGTATAATGAAAGATAGTAAAATGTGGTACCTGCTTCGTTTTGCTGGATTTGGGGTAGTGGATCTGATCTAACTGGTCAATGATATAGGGGAGTTGCAAGTAAACAAGTCACCAATATCTTTTATTCACTTATTAGAAATTGTACTAGCTAAACTAGTTTGTACCCACAGTTAGGACGTTACAGAGAGATAGACTGAGTTCATAAATAGGCAGGATACAGTTTGAAGGTAGATGAGATCAGAATGTGGGAGACTTTGCATAGTAAGTTCCTTACTACTAGACTACTTTTGAGAAATTCAAATTAAAGTTATACAAGGATTTATGCATTCAACCATTCTGATTCACTGGTAATACAAGCAGTACTTTGTATTTGTCAGTGCATTCTGAGATTTATATTCCTTTACACCCAAGGGATGGGTTGAACTATGTGACCCTTAGTTCCAATTAAGGGGTCAAAGTATCTATCTCATTATGGCCAACTATTTGGGATAGACAAAAACTTTTATTGTGAAAAATTCCTTGGGGGTAAAAAACCATGGGACAGCATCCAACCAAGTGATAATCCACTATGATTAAATGGTGATACAACACACTTTCTTACTAGTAGTGTTGGACCATATCCCTCACGAAAGCTAGGTCAAATATTATTAACAGCTTGTCACCTTTAGTAGTGTTGCCTTGCATCTACCGTCTATTTTCTCCAATAAGGATTTAATATTCTTTTGCTAGTTTGTTCCTAACAAGCCTTTCTCCACGTGTAGCTTGATGACCTTGGTCAAGTAGAAACCATGGTAATGAACTATGATTTACACAGACAAGCCTCAAGCTTTATCTTTCTTGTAATGTTGGTAACTTAAAATACTGCCTTCGTGACCATTGTAATGTGTGTGCTTGTACAAATGCAACCATAGTAAAACACACAAAATCACTGCTCATATGTCTCTCTATCAATTAGTGTGTATGAGTAACATCAAACCATTTTGGATATACAAATTATGTGGTAAGTTGCAGAGAGATTCCCTTGATCCTTTGCAGAGAGATTCCCATGATCCTTTGTCCCTTCTCTCACTCATGGCAATAACAGCTATTTATCAGCATCCTAGGGTTGCCTCTTTGTCTTGAGATAGATAAGAGATTATCTAAAGCTCTTTTTAATTGAATTAAAAATATTTAAACAATTTTCTAACTGTATCAAGAGATAAAAATTATTAGAATTATTATTTAATTGATGATACATAAGTATTATAAAATAACCCTAAAAACTACCGTCACCTAAGCCCAAAGCGAAGCAAGAACATGAGAATTAATCCATAAAATTTCAACATCTTCCTCATTATATTCATTAAAATAATCTTACTTCCTGTCCGAATAACCTGAAATAAATTAGCGACCTGAAATTCACAGCTCCATACACTACCGGTTTTAATACACCCCCTGAAAGCACAAAAATCCTGAATAACCAATGAAGCACCAGATTTCAGAATCACCCAAAACAACTACCTGAAACAATTTATACCCTAATTTTAAAGCCATTGTGCAAAGGAGAAACAAGTGATCTATGTTGTCTGTTACACTCTAACAATGCCCACACCAGTATGGGCACAAACAGATTTTTGGGACTTCATTGAAAAAAATCAGTAGTATTTATTAATTCATGCACTGTGGTCCAAGCTAGAAGCTGTAGTTGGTACTTTTGTTTTCTGGCTCAGACATAATCAAAGGAACCTTGAAGTTCATACAGTGAGAGTTTCAAATGCAACACAGTTCATACGATGATGTTTGGTGTGCTAGTTCTCCCTCAAAAGATTTTTATTCTGGTGAATTAACATTTAAAATTTTATGGCCATACAAGTTCTAAGACCGTTGAAGTTTTGTCAAAATAGTGGATCAAGTGTCTGAAGCTGTGATGGATGCGTTGTGCCTATTGAATTGTTGATCTTTCATCCTGCAACTTATATAGAATGTTAGTTTGTTCGGGATCTTTTAACCTAAATATTTTACGTGAAAATTTAAAATGGTTACACATTTTTAGCCTTTCTATTTGATTCAGTGGTTAAAATCTTTAGTCTTGTTAAGTTTGTTAGAGTAGAGTTTCACAAATCTTTCTACTATTTTGCAGGATAAGTACATGCAGAACAGACTGGTACGGCTTGTTTGTGTTTTCTTACAGAGTCTAATCCGTAATAGAATTATTGATGGTGAGTTTTTTATGCAGTATCTTTCTTGTATTCGTTAGTTATAGTGTCTTGTCATAGTAGTTAATATAGTGATTATTGGCTGTGTTTATGTGTTTATGTATGTTTTATTCAAAGTTCTATGAAATGGACTTGGAAAGAATGGAGTCAGAAGTTATAGAAGAAGGGATCTGTGTTTGTATATGTGTGCTTCTCTAGAGTACTCCCAATAAAAAAAAAAAAAAATATATATATATATATATAAAGCTTATGCTTATCATCATGGTACACATGCACTAAAATTACATGCCTAGATCCTTTTTTAGGTGCCCATTGGAAATTTTTGTTTGTGAAAATACTCTGGTGATTGGATGAACTACTAGATGCATGTTTATTTTATTGATTGGCTTCACATTCTTCTATAACTAACTACATTGGGAGCAAGTAAGAAAGGCACATGTATCAATGTGTGTTGGCAGCAATTTTCTCTGATTCTCAGGAGTTCTGATTTTGGCTTTGCAGTTAAGGATCTTTTCATCGAAGTTCAGGCTTTTTGCATCGAGTTCTCACGAATTAGAGAAGCAGCGACATTATTTAGGCTTCTGAAGACCTTGGGGTTGGAATGAATGACGTTAGCAATTCTAAGTTGGTCCTAGTCCTACTGCTGTATCTCATTTCTATTCTTTTCTGGGTTTGTAGATAAAAACATTGGTATTGGAGTTCTAGTTAAGTTACCGTTAGTTATGGAAGTTTAGGAATAGAATACCGTTGGCCATTTATGCAATAAGGTAGATAATTTTGGCATAGTTCGTCAAACCATTTCCGGGACTTTCTGTTGATTTTGTGTGCAGAATGAGATTTTAATTTTTAGTATTAGCAGCTGGCTTTATTTACTTCAGCCGTTTTATTTATGGACGGTTTTTGTAGATTATATTATAATTGAGCAGATTGTAGTGAACTTTGTGACAATTCCTTATTAAGCAATGGAGTTATAGGTATTTTCATATCGTATTTCCTTGCTTATTTGATAGCCATTTTGAATACCAGGTCATGAAATACGGAAACTTTGATGGCAGTTTTTGATACAATATTTTTTTTAAAAGAAAATTAATGAAACAAAGAGTACATTTTTTATATAAATGTTTTGGAAAATTGTTTTCATAAATTTAAAGCATTAATGCATTAAAATTTTTTGTTTTACCTAAATTAATATAGTAATTTTTTTTTTTTTGAAAAAAAGGTGGAGTAATTGATGATATATTATGATACTATTGGGATTTAACAGTATCATAGACATAATGTCAGTTAACCGATACTTTCTATCAATAATTGTCCATTTTAATATCCTGATACACTTAAGTGAAACTGATATGTTAAAATTTGACCCAAAAAAAAGGGCTCTCGAACATTCATGAATGAAATTAAATACAATAGTATATTAAGAGTCATTATAATTAAACAGTCAGTGATTTGTATATTTTTAATGAAAATACTGAGAAAATGAGTTTTTATAAGAATTTATGAACTACCATTTTATTTTTTGTTTAAACTTTGTCACATATGATGCACTTAGAAGATGTTTCACAATATGTTGTCAGTTAATTTGTCCAACAGATGGACGTATGCAATCATTTCAAAGTAAAAATAATCTCATTCTTTTTATTTTAGAATTTGAAATAAAAATTAATACAAATAAATCCTCCCTTTAATTTAATATTTGGTTGTATGGGCCCCAAAATAAACCCCAGCCCACATAAGCTAAGCTCATGACATGTCGTCTTTTTCTGGTAGAATCTCACAAGCGGGTAGATATCATTTCTCTTCTCTTTATTACCTTTTCCCTTCAAATCAAAACTTAAATTAGCTCTACGCCTACTTGTTCAATTTTAGAATTCACAACATTTTTCCCTCTATTCAAACTGAAACCCCCCGAAACCCTAGAATTTGAATTCTCCCTGTAATTCACCAAATCACACCCACCAACTGCCATTCTCTAAACTGTGAGTTCTACTTTTTTTTTTTTAAATTATTTAGTAAATGTACGAAGAATCCAAGCTTTATGTCTACTCTATAAATTTTTTGCGTTCTTTAATTCTTATTTCTTCCTGCAGTTCTCATGCTATTTGATGGGGACAAATAAGTTAACCCAATTCTCTATTTTGATCTGATTTCTAATGGGTCAATTCATGCTTCAGAGTTAGAGTGAACTACAATAGATTTTCAACCTTTGGAAATGTTTATGGAAAGGGCTTCTTAGAAAACTTTTTTTTTTTTTTTTTTTTAATTAGTGATTTTGTCTGTTTGAAACTAAGCTCTCCATAAGTTTATGAGTTTTTGGAGTGAAAGGTGGTAAGGAATACAAAATGGTTATAATGCAAAAAGTCTATCTTGTTTATACTTGTGTTTTCATGGGAACTGAAGTTTTGGGGTCAAGGATTTTAGGCGCAAGAGATCTGACTGTAAATTTATTTCAATTAAGAGGATATAAAGAGTTACTGTTAAGTGATTCAGGTTTGTGTTTGCGGGAGATACCATGGAGATGCCAATATAGATAATAAAAGTAACTTGGAAATGTTGAATTCTGTGAAATAGAAGTTCATGATTGATATATGCCTATTCTTCCTGCAATGTGTCTGTGTGTTCCTTTTTACCCTTTATTTAAGCCTTTGTGTTCACGGATGCTTTAATTGCTTTTGGGAAAAAAAAATTGTGGTTATTGTGATTTGATTTGATTATGGTTTATTTTTATTTTAAATGAATACTGTTAAAACATAAGTACATGATTGTTGATATGTGTTTAAACTTAAATAATGTCTATTGATCCTAGTGCACCAATGAATTATCTGGATGAAGATGCTACTTCGGGCTCTGGAGATGATATGAACATGTTAGATGGACACAACAAGCGTCAGTCCATGATGCCATCAAGTTCTGGTCGACGCAAGAGAAGTCGTAAGGCTACTGGTGATGCCATTGTGGATGCTATGCTAGAAATAGCTGCTGCTTCAAAAATGAGGGCAGCAGCAATCATGAAGAATGAAGATCGGTTTTCAATAAGCAAATGCATTAAAGTATTGGATGACATGCAAGGTGTTGATCAAAGAATTTATTTTCTTGCATTGGACTTATTTGAAAATCCCAATGCCAGAGAAACATTTATTTCTCTTAAGAGTGAGAAACGGTTGCCATGGTTGCAGGGAAAATGTAGTGCTTCCTCAGTTTGAATAATTTAAGTAACATAATTGATTCTGTACTTTTTGGTTCCTGATATTGGTCATAGTACTACTGAGGAACACTTACATCTGTAATTAGTTTGACCATGTGGTTGATGGCTGTTTTATTTTTGTCAAATGGTTTTAAATGATAACTGGAATGTCTGCTTTCCGATCTTGGTTTATAAGAGCTTGTGTTTGAAGGTTACAAGTTACTAGAATGCTTTCAATAGAAATTCACTGCATATATATACTTTAGTTTATTTCGTTATACATACTGCATTTAATTCAATTTCTACAGATGCCTCAGCCACCATGGATGAATTTGACTTAGAATTGGACGAGATGGAATTAGTTGCTGCAGCTGCTGGCTATTATTATTGCAATAGTTTAAGTAAGCTACCTCAACATAATATCTCACCTGCTGGAAGTGGATTTATGACTCAAGTGCTGGAAGGACATGATGATGTATGCCGGCAAATGTTTCGAATGGATAAACATGTTTTTCGCAAATTCTGTGGCACACTTCGACAAAGAGGCATGTTACGCGATACAGCTGGTGTTATGATAGAGGAACAACTAGCAATTTTTTTGAACATTGTGGGTCATAATGAGCGTAACAGAGTAATCCAAGAGCGGTTTCAACATTCAGGTGAAACCATAAGCCGACATTTCAATAATGTGCTGAAGGCAATCAAGTCCCTCTCACGTGAATTTTTATTGCCACCTCAACCTAACACTCCTCCTGAAATTATCAATTGTAATAGATTTTACCCATATTTCAAGGTTTATATCTGATCACTTCTGTTTTTTTTTTTTTTTCTCCTGATTTTTGCATTATTGTTTGCCATTCATTTCATCTCCTTGTGCTCAGGATTGTATCGGGGTCATAGATGGCATGCACATCCCTGCACATGTCCCAGCAAAAGATCAATCTCAATTTCGTAATAAGAAAGGTCTATTATCACAAAATGTGTTGGCAGCCTGTACATTTGACCTTCAGTTCATATTCATTTATCCAGGATGGGAAGGCTCTGCTGCAGATTCACGTGTGCTGAGAGCAGTCCTAGATGATCCAGATCAGAATTTCCCTAGCATTCCCGAAGGTTCTCCCCAGATATATATATTGCTGAGGATTTCAATTGTTTTATATACTTTGCATACTTTTCATATTATGATAGATATGAATACTCAACTTTTGATCAAGTCTTGAATGTTACAGGAAAATATTATTTGGTTGATATGGATTACTCAAATACAGAAGGATTTATAGCTCCATATCTAGGAGTTCGGTATCACGTGCATGAATATAGAGGTGCTAATAAATTGCCTAGAAATGCAAAGGAACTGTTCAATCATCGGCATGCATCCCTTAGAAATGTCATTCAGCAGTCTTTTAATTTGCTGAAAGCTCGATTTCCTATTCTGAAACTTGCCCCTCAGTATGCTTTTCAAATCCAAAGGGATATTGTTATAGCTACTTGTGTTCTACATAATTTCATCCGACGTGAAGAACGAAACGATTGGTTGTTTAATAATGTTGAGGGAGTGACAGTGGAAGAATTACCTTATTTTGATGATCAACTTGACATGCACTTAACTTCTTCCATTCAAGAGCAAATTGCTTCAGCATTACGAGAATCAATTGCAACAGCTATGTGGAGTGACTTTATAAACAAATGGGATGAGTGGTGATTGTGAACTCAGGTATTAGAAGTTGGTACTGATGCTGTATAGTTTTTTTCGTTTCTTGTTTTGGAAATATATTGCTACACCTATGTGCCTTTTCCTACAGGAAGATGATCAATTGCTATGTAGTTTTGGAAATTTAAGTTTAAATTTGGCCTTATAGATTGGCGAGTCTGTCTCTGTTCATGATTAGAATTTGCATCAATGATTGTCTGCTGAACATGGTGGAAACCGGTGTGGCTGAGATTGGAAGTTAGGAAAGCAGATGCTAAGCACGAGCTATTGCTTTGTTCTAAGATGCTGGGATGTGGGTAATGTAGATTCTTTAGAAAATGTGTATCTTAATATTTTTAATATTAAAAAATGTGTCCCATATAAAAATTTAAAAATTGTTTTTAGATTAAAAGTTGTAGAAAATTGTGAAGACGACTTTTAATTGTTTTTTGATTTTATATTAGTTTTTAAGATTGTATTCGAAAACTGTTTTGAAAGCAATTCTACTTATTTTTACAATAAATCTTTCGTAAAATTGACTAAGCTGTCCTTCGAAATACCAATTTGAAATTGTTACAATTTTGTTGAGTAAAAGTATAATGTTATGTTGATGATTTATCCCACACTCCGTGACTAATCTTTTAAACTCATTTCCAATGTTTTAAAAACCGACCCGACGCAAAACCAAGCAAGCTGGCCGATTCTCGGTTCAGCTAGTGACGTTATTATGCTGACATGATAACGTCAACAAATTTACTGTTTACAGAGTTCAGAATTACAGAATTCTCAAATCAGGATTCAAATCATAAACTCCTAAATAAAAAGTCCTTAGCAAAGCATCATAAACTTTGGACTATGAGTTTTGATAAGTAGGCTGTTGTGCGTGAAAGTGATATACTCTGCTATCAATCACTATGCTCCAGCACTAAATCAAACTAATATTGTAAATGAATTTAATAATTGAAAGCATTTGTGGAATAGATGATTTGCATATACATTTAAGAATTAATTAAGAAGTTCTTGAACACAGTACTGCAGTAGTACTGATTCTACTGAAACACACCAGCAAACTTATCATAAACACACAAAAACAAAGAGATTATCAACACCTGAATGACCAAGCCAAAGTATAGAGAACAAAGGAAATGGCAACCCGCCGGATAATTGCAGTCCGTCAAAAGAAATGACAAAGTGAATTAAAGTAAATGAATAAAAGTAAACAGGGAGTATATAGAACAATTGGGAGGAAGAGGCGACAGTTACCTGGTGAAGATGAGTTGTCGTTGACTTTCAGAGAGGTGGAGCTTGACCATGAACTGTGAAGAGATGAGATCGAGCAAATGTGAGGAAGAGGCGACAGTTCGTGAGCAAGATGAGCTACAGTTGAAGATGAAGAGGAGGAGATTGATGGTGTAGCTTTGAGATCGACGATGAATTAACAGAGCAGACCGACGGTGAAGAGTGAAGACTCAAGAGTGAAGAGAGGACAGAGGAGATCGTAAAATGAAAGGAGAGTCTCGGTACCCCAACTGACGACAAACAGAGCAGTTCACGCCTTCACAGTGTAATGATATAATTTTTTTTTTGAAAAAAAATGAGTAATGTTTTAAAACTCGGTCTAGCCTGACTGGTTGAACCAGGACCCAGCTAGTGAGCCGGGCTGGTTGAGGCTAATAACCAGCAATTTATAACTGTCCACTTACACCCGTGGTTGGACCGATGCAAAAACCAAAACTAGTGAGTAATTAAAGGGCTAAGACACTAAAACATTAGAATATTTTGTTGAAGTAGTAGCTCAAAAAGATTAGAGGAGGAAGTTATCTAGTTCCGCGGATTCGCCAACGCGAATCCACTTTCTCCTTAGAAAATCATTCTTGTTAATCATTTTAGTAAAAGAAGATCCATTGCAGTGAACGTAACTTTGTAAAGATGTAGTTTTTAGGGTAGGATGAGTAATATTTGACCTAATTAGGAAATATAAGAGAAGCTCTAAGCACTATGAAATATGGGTATAAAAACCCTAAAGAAACATAAATGATTTTGTTTTAGAATAGACTCATAACAATGATGTAGATGGTTGGAAAACCAATATATTTATATAAGTTTATAAATTTTGTTTTAAACATATTTCTAAACTCACTGTGTAGATTGGAAGAAGAAAATATTCTTAAAGAAACACCAATCATGATGATAGAAATGTCATAGCAAGTGTTTGAAAAAATTTATGAATTATAGGGATACCTCGTCACCCATACCACTAACCAATACATTATTGTACATAGATTTTTAAATTGACAACTACCAATCACTTTAATGATAAAGATTCCGGAGATAGAAAATATTCATAGGTGGTGTAAATGCATTGGTGGGTCGTTGGAAATAAGCTTGGAGTACGTTTGAAAACTTCTAGAAATCAAGTTGAGATATTTGAAACTGTTAAGATTCTTTTAGAACTAGGTTAAGTCCTTTTTATAATTATGTTATTATCCAATTAAAATAATTAGAATATCTTTAATTAGAATTAGACAATTAGAGCCATTCTACCATTAGAATAATTTGTAAGGTTATATAAAATCTAAAACAGCAAAAGTTTGACAGGTAATAATCAATAAAAAGTTCTCCTCTTTTAAACTCTTAATTTTCATTCTTCTTGAAGGTTATGTTTCCTTATATAAAACAAGAACACTATCCTTCAGAAATTGTTGTTAAATATGTATGTTGAGATCGAGAGATATCATGCGTTAATGGTCTAAAAAAAAATGAGACGAATGCATGATAAAATTCAAATGTTTGAGGCCATAGAAGAAAAAATGAAAATGTTTGAGTGGAGATAATTCACATTCAAGATCGCATATTATGTTGGACAATCAATAATGTTAAATCTACAACCTCCGACATGACAACTCATCACTAGATAGTTTGCAAATGAGCAAGCGAGACACATACAAGCATGCGGGGCTTATTTTGCGAGTTGACCAATGATAAATTACCACGTTAAGAGTTGTAAGAGAAAGTTGTGAGATTGAGTTGTGTACCTAACATTACTCATTGGACAATATACCTTTTTTTGTAATGATGTATGTGAGTGTGTATGGCTAATTAATGTATATCATTGGTCACATTAACTCATTATTTATATCAATAAAACTACACTTACAATTTTTTTATACAACTTTGAGGTGGTAGTTCGCAATTGGTCAATTTATATTTGGATAGATGAGATCTATTGCGAACTGTCATATCAGGGTTATATGAAAAAGTTGTAAGTATAATGCTACTCTATTGATATATCATTGTCACATAGAAAAACAATATTTGAGATTAAAAAGAGAATTAAAAAAATTAAGTTGTTGTTACTTAAGATGCATAGTATTTTCAAATAAAAAATGTATTATTATATTTGATTCCTAACACCATAGTATGTTTTTCATATCTGTTAGAAGTGGTAGAATCCTCGGATTTGTTCTTCCTTCTTTATAGATTGAGAGAATGTACAATTTGGTGAAAGTATATCTCGTATTCTTTAAAGTTAGGAAGAGAAATTATTGTTTGTGTGATCTCACAAAGATTGTTATCAGTCAAGCTTTTGATCTACAACTTGCTTTGTATTTATTAATCTAATTATTGTTTGATATATCTAACGCTATTGGCTAGGATGTAGCTTTAAAACCAAATCTTCATGTAAATTTTCTTTCCGATTCCTTTTCTATTTTATATTAATTTTCTTCTGGTTGTGGCCACTGCTATTGCTTTACAGAGATGTTGACATTTTTGTCATATTCTTGCGCATCTCTGTCAAATGTTAAGTATTTTTCACATCCCATTATAATTTTGATCCTTTCAATTAATTAAATAGACTTTTAAGATAATCAATTAATCCAAAGATTTCTTATTTTCTATTAATTACATTTATATTTCTTATACAACAATAGAAAATTTCAAGCCCTCTATAACAATTTACAGCATTGTTAGGATTTGAGTTATCCTTTCTGTCGTGCAAGAGTTTACAGTATGCTTGGAAATTGGAATCAGTGATAGTTTGGAGAAAGTGAAGCTTGGGGCAGCAAGCTAAACTCGGCAAGACAAGCTAGATGAATAGTTGTCTCAGATGCCACAGATAAGCATTATCCCCCGAGATAAATTCGACATCAGATCATATAATTTCGAATTTAACGTGATCGAGCTAATCGTGTGATTAACTTCCTATGATTAAGCCACAATCTTTATAATCCCTCGATAAACAGTTACCAAATTGTTGTATAAATACCCCCATAAAACTCATGGTAAGGGGTTAACAATTTTAGAAAGATTAAACTTATTCTTGTACACAAAACATCAATAAGATAACAGTGAATATAAGTTTAAGTTTGAACTTACCGAATCACTTTAAAATCGTTTGTGTTATTTCTTTCATATTCTTGTTGATTTTAATTAATTACACTCACAACTAATCCGATTTCACCTAGATGAATCAATTTTCGCTACTTGTTGCATAAATTTATAACAACACTTTTGAAGGACGAAAATTATTACTATTATTTCTAACATCAATGGTGAGATTTGGGCTATGATGAACCCCTATCTTTTTCTAATCGTGACAATTAGGAAAGAGATGATTCAACAACATTAAAGCTGAAAGAGAACACTCAGAATAATTAAGTTTTGAAAGCAAATTGTATTTGAATTTTGATCGATGGAGATATTTCTGTTAATAATGTCTCACATCAAAGCTATACATTAGAGACTAATCAACAAAAATGATTTTTGTTTTCTCTCTTTTTTTACAACTTCCCTTAATGGGATCCCTAAGTACCATCTTATAATGCTTTAGATCTGAGACAATTTCCCCAGTAAAGCCATTCTAACATTTATCAATTCTTTATATAAATCCTTTACTCTTTCTTCCAAGGGCTCAATACTTTCTTCTAATTTCCCGCAGTTTGTTTTCAATGTACCAACATCGAGCTCAACCTCACTTTGCTTTCTACGTTTTATTTGATCCCGCAACGCCCGAGCCGCCACGACTGAGTGTTGCAGCTCCACTAACATCATCCCTGACCCTGATTTCTTCTGCTCTTTCACTTGCTTTTGGAGTTCTTTCAATGAATACGACCATGAAGAACTAAAACTCTGAGCTTGAACTGATGGTAAGCTACGTTTAGAATTGAACGACAAAGCAACTCCAAGAATCGCACATACCATCGAAGTCACAGCCATTGACCCACTTAAGATCTCGCCCAAACCGAACGTTTCGCAGTGGTTTACCTTTTGAAAGCTGAACGATTTTCTCAAACCTGAGTTACACTTTTCAATCTCGTTGCATCTTCTTTCCAATTCCTGGCATGAATCTAAAACGTCTCCCGCTCGTGCCAATGTTGTTTGATGAGGTTCGCCGTTTCCTTCAAGCAAGTGTGAGACGATTCTCAATGAGTCTAAATACTTTTGAATAATCTCTATCTTCTCCGATAATTCGTTACAAGTATCGAGCATTTTGGTGTTATAATCAAGATACTTATCGATGACCTCTCGATATGAGTCTTGAATATGAACATTAGCAAGAGCATCTAGAGTTAATTGTTGAGTAGTGGTAGAAGCATCAAGAGCATGCAACAAAAAAGAAATCTGTTCAATCTGAGAAACCTTCTGCAACTGCAAACCATCGAGGTGCGCCGTGACTTGCTCATCAAACGAGCTTGTGATCGGTAAAGGCACAACTGCAGAAGAAGCAGAAAGCCTCACCAAGGAAGAAAGACTTCTAAGAATGGATGATGGCTTCATTATTCTTCCTCTCTTGTTTGTGTGTGAACATGTAAGACTGAAAAGCTAGCGTTTCATTTATATATTGTGCATATTATACAGAGACTGGGTGAAAATATTAAATAGAAAAGAATGCAAAAGGAGGAGCTAACACGTGTCAAAAGTTAGTTCTGAAAAATATATGGTAGGCAGTAGCAAGTGCTTGGGGAGAAACAAAGGCAGAATGGGTCCTACTACTAGTAAGTTGCTCCCTGGATTCCTTTAAAGGAGGGACAAATGAAGGGTGATGAGAGGGGCCACGTTAGCAGGTGATGTGATTAGGTAATAATAGGGAGGATTGATAATTGAAGATTATGAGCTGTCTTAGATATCGTGGTCTGGCAAGAGAGTACCACGTACTACCTCTAGGTAGGATCCAAATCTAAGCACATATTGAGCTGTCTTTTGGGGACGACCGAGTTCATTGGGAAATCACTCGTTTTTAACTCAGTAAGAAGTCACAATCAAGAATAATTCGAGAATAAAGGGAGAAGCATGGTGGGATGTAACAAACATTGAATTAAAAATAAATAAAAACATTAGGGTTTGATGTGTTAAGGCAATGTGCCCTATGTTTAGGAATGTGATTTTGAAAAAAGATTGGAAAAGAGAAGAAGAAGATCTCCAAAAGATTTTAAGAGTAGAAAGAAATGGGGGTGTCGTGAATGAGTTCTTCCACATGGCGGGCACCAACCTGCATATTACATAACTTGTCCATTTGTTTGCCACGTTCATCATCTACAATATATATATATATATATAATATTAGCTTTCTTAATTTTTAGGTTATTATGATCATTATTGTTGGTATCAGTGACTAAAAAGAACAATGGTAGTTAAATGTTGATGCATATCAGTATTGATTGTTCGATAGACATTAATTTCAGATTGTTTATTTATTTATTGTTAATTCCTATCATTTGGGATGGATAAATAATTCTTCAAGCATGCCTTATGTAATATGTATATTAGCTGTGGTGGTTTGTAATTAAGCAACAAGACTTGAATGTGTCTACCGAATTGCTGGGCACATGAACAAATACATAATTATATAATTCAAACAATATTGAATAATGTTACATTGAACAATCTCAGATAGATTTGATTACAACATTAGTACAAATAATTGATTAAAATCGACGGATACATTGCTCCAGCCGTACAGCACAATTATTGCGTACATACAAGGACTAATGCATGAATGTAAATTAAAATATTTGCCCACTAAAACTTAAAGCAATTCTCTAGACAAGTTTAGATTTGATCTGGATTCTCCAATCCATTCCCAGGTGAAACTGTTTCACTTCACTAATTTTATATACTCTTCTTTTCCTTTTGAGAAAGGGCATCTGGCAGATTGATGATTGGCTCTCTCAGCTAATTATATATATGCTTAATTTTCTCATCATCTTTACATGTTCATGTACCATGTGTACTTCTACAGGCTCTCAGAGTTTTAGTACTCATTAATAATCTATTTATTATATATTAATTATAGAACAAATACAGGCAATATGCATTCTTAACAAGGAAGTTATATAATTAAGAGAAATTAAAATTAAGTAAGAGGTAGTAATAGTTGAATCCTAGAGAAAAGATAACAATAAATTTGAAGTATATTTTAATGAAATAATAAATGGGTTCACCACAGAGAATTAAAATTATAATATAAGTAAGTTGATATAAAAGAATGATAGTGCATCTCATAATCAAGTTAGGTTTAGGCTGTGACGTGTGATTGTTGGCAGACAAAGTCTTTGCAAGTTGAGTTTAATTACAAAGATATTTTGAAACACAAGGTGTGTATTTTTTAATGTGTACTTTATTATCTTGTTATTTAAAGGACAAAATTGTAAATAACATATTTCAGGTATTTTATGAGGCAATTGTTTACTTTAGACATTTGAGGAAAAATTATAATCGAATATCTGATAAAACACTTTGTTGTATAATTGTTTAATCATTCCCATTACAAAGTTCTAAATCACATATTCTGTAACTATGCAAAAAATAATATTCACTTTTGTAATTTTCAAGAACACAATTGATTTTCCAAAGAGTATAGTTTCTTTGCTTTTGGTTTACCTAATAAGTGATATATTTTAGGTTGATGGGTTATTGGATTAGTGTGTTAATTTGCATTTAATGGGCAATACTGTCGACGAAGGTGCTCATGCAAGTAATGGTAAGAATATCATGTCATCTTCTTGTTGAATCCCAAATAAACTGAAGCCAAAGACAACATTAGAAAAGCCATTTGAAGACTCTCCGTAGTTCTAGCTGAGGCAAAAGGAACATAATTTGATGAATTTCAGTTTCAATTATGAAATATAATAAAGGATTTAGAGTGAGAACATATAACCTAACTTTAGGATTGAAGTAAACTCGATAACTAATAATGAGGTTTATAAGAATTTTAATGGCTTATTCATTAAACATCCAATTATTCAGCGTAGCAAAATGAAAATAAATGTTCAGCCCAAAACTGATACAAGGCTTAAGCAAATCAATTAAGACGGTCCAAATCAAATAAATGGGGACAAGACAAGAGGTTAAGAATCAAATCAATCACGCCCACTCACCTCAGTCCTCAGATAATAAAAGCAATAGAAGCAAGCTTCACGTTCGTGACAAGGTACGAGATGAAGACACAAGGGAGAAAGGGGAAGGAAGTAGAGTAATACTAACGAGATATATATACAAAGAGTTAAAATTTAGTCTTTAAAATTTATGATTGTCTCTTTTTTTTTTCTCTTTTTTTCTTCTTTCAAGGGTTGAATTTGACTATTTGTATGGGTTTTTGTATGTCTCTTTGTAAGACTAGTATTACTCAAGGAAGAAAATCTGAGCATCAAATATTGTCATACTACTATTTTTCACAAATATTATATCCAGTCATTGTCTTGAACTTTTTTATGATAAAAAAAGGGAATGCATTCAACCATCTTATTTTGAGTAACTACAAATTTCGCTCAAACATTTGGAGTTAGGAGAACCTTATCTATTTACAAAAAAAAATATTCTACTATTAATTTTTACTTAAAAAAAAAAATGGAGGGCCTCACCTTATTTATTCTATGTATTTTAACAAATTTCACTTTTTTTTAAAATAAAAAAATTATTTATTCATATTAGTTTAATAAAATATAGTTATTTAATAAATTTTCATATTTAGAAAAGAAAATTGGGTTTAAGGCCCATTCAAGCGGCCGACGGCCCAGGTGCTTAACTTGTTATTCCGCAACAAGGAAAGCACTTTTTCACTCATTCATATGGTAGGGGATTTCAGACGCTTAAGTGAATTGGCCCTAGCGTGCTGAAAAATCATTAGTCGCACTTGAACCTAGAAAATAGGGGTTTTCCAGGTTCTCAAGAATTCGCCATCCAATTTAGACAACGGAGTATTATCTTTTCTTTTTTATAAATTGTCACTCCCATCCCTATGGTATTGAAAAGCCTACCTGATCTCCCTTTACAAAATTACATTTGATTACATTTACAGAATTGGAACTTAAGAAGTCAAAAAAAGTTATAAAATTAAAAAAGTCAAAAAAAGCAATAATAGTGACACGTGGATTTAAAAGCATTTCAAATACATTAATAAAATTAACAAACTTAAAATTAAGAAATTGAGAAAAAAAAAAAAAAAACCTTTTCCCTTCATCTCCTTTCTTTCAGTTGATAAATAAGAAAATGGAACCTGTAAACCTACAAGTAGGAACATTCTAACCACCACTAAGTGGTTTAACGGTAAAATGGCAAAAAGGGTCTGATATGAGTTCTTGAGTTTGAGTCCCCCAGACACTAATAGGGGTGATTACTGAGGAGATTTATTCTGCTTCAGAGGGATTAGTTGAGGTACGCGCTAGTTGGCTCAAAATCCCTAGTCAAAAAAAAAAAAAAAAAAAATGTAGGAACATTCTAGCTCTTTCTCTTCTTTTTGGACAGCTTTCAATGGGTTGCTTCATTCATTCAATTTAGGGACTAGGGATGGCTTCGCTTCATTCATTCAATTTAGGGACTAGGGATGGCTTCGCTTCATTCATTTTAGCCATGAGATGTCCTTGCCAGCATCTCCTGTTGAATTGAATGTCTATCGCTTTTGTACCAACCTTCTTTTGAGCCTAAATCGAAAGTGTCATTGAGCTCTGGAGTTGATTCCGATCTGGCCTGGCGGTGCATGCCTCAATGCTTCGCCGTTGGCCTTTGCCTCTACTTGTTTTTTTTCTTTTAATTTTTCTAAGTTTTTTGGATAATTCTTTAAAAATTGTATAATTAGATTGTAAGGGCAAAAAGGATTTTGTACATTTTCAGTCAAACATTATCGTTAGAAAACGAAGGTGAGGATGTTGGAAAAGTAAACCGCCCCACCCCCCCCCCCCCCCCCCCCCCCCCCTTTATTTATTTTTGTTTTGTTTTGTATAGTTATTTTTCAAATATCAATAATTCAATTAAATTAATTTTTTTTTTTGTTAACATTTCAATATAATTCAATTTTAATACATAAAATTGTAATATAAGAAATTAGATTTATTCACTTATCAAAAAATAAAATAAGAAATTACAACAATTATTGCCTCTTTAAAAACCTCACAAAAAACCCAATGAGACAAAAACTTGGTAAAGAAAAAAGAGTGCAATAATTGACAATTAATTTACAAGTTACAATTTACAAAACAACTAATTTGGGGGTTGACTAGGACCTCCCTCATCCGTATCATCTATATTACAAAATTGAAATGATTTTATTAAAGTATCGTCGACAACCTCGTATTGATCTTGATGGCGTGACCGTTCCCAATCTCGAAGACATGTGAGGACTTCAATCATTTTTGGTAAAAGTTTAGTTTTCCCTTCATTTAAAATTCTTCCACTTGCACTAAATGTTTATTCGGATGAGACGGTTGAGACAAGAACAGCGAAAACATCCAAGGCAAGTCTTGATAATACCGAAAAAATACATTTTCTGGTTTTCCAATATT